GAGTGGTTGTCCGCTGGTTTCATTTCGCGCAACGGAACTTGGCGAGTTGAGTATCCTCCTTCGGATTCCCACAGGATTTCCTGCACTTAAAGAGCGAACACGAGTTTGTATAGTATTGACGTTTTGACTAAGAGATACCTGGATGTTTGCAACGTATCGACAGCCTTTTCCACATCCGAGAACTTTTGTGATATGTCCGACATGGTTTGCTGCATAGCTTTGAGAGTTTCAGCCAATGATGTCTCAACGGCGTCTCCTCCGGACATTGCTGCTTAAATCGGGAATGTAGTAAAGAAAAATCTGACCACTCAAGAATCCTCTGTCCCCACAGACGGCGCCAAAATGTGGAAGTCGGATTCACACACTCAAGTATTTTTATTAAATAGGAAAGATTATTCTTGAGGGACAAAAAACAAGAATGTAAAAGGCTTATGAATTGCTACAAAAATTGCTATAGTATTTCTTGCTCAAGAGAGAGATCCCCCTTACATGGCCATTGGCCTCTATACTTATACGTAAAACGACATTTAAGTGACTAATTAAGTATAATTATTCCCTCTTAAATGCTTCTGTTTTGATCTTTTGCTTTTAATGCTTAACGTTTGAATTTGAGTTGATTCTGATCTTCATGGGCCTCGCCTTTTGGCCCAAATGTCCTTAAACCGAATTAACCGTGACTTTGATGTCAAACTCATATCGAAGTGCAATCACTTCGAATTCTCCTTATGGTGATAACCACTTCGACTGTTCTTTTGACTTGTGGGTCTAATGGGCTTTATCCTTTATGGGCTGTTACCCTGACTACGTGGCAATCTTTGGTTGGTCCTGGACCTCTGGTGCGGGATCCGACACCAACAGAAAGGAAACCCACTGTGTCCATAATTTACAGTGATGATGAAAGATCGGCGGTCCCAATAACGGTTAACATATATCGTTTGACAACCACTAAAATATCTACTTTTCATCTACGCATCGATAAGGTGCAAAGACGGAACAACGATATAGATGATTGGATCTCTTTCGTCATAGAACTCAAACCGGATAACATATCTATTAGATTTATCGGTAGTGATCACGACTATCGTTTCATCATGAATGATTTTTTTAACATTGGCTGGCTAAAGCAACTCATCGTGCAACATCCCGATATGAAACTGATCCCAAAGTATGTGCCGTGGAAGTCACTAAAAATTTTGTCCTTAAAATGTTCGTATATTCGCCAAGAACACATGCTAATATTCTCATCGGTTGTCCACTTCTGAGAAGTTTGACACTATGTCAGTGTAAAGAGTAGCTCATGTATTTTGACCTCCACAATGCACCAAGTGTCATGAGCTTGGACATAGGTATGGACCCGTATATTTATTACGTTGGTTTTGAGCCGGTGAAGATTGAAGCATCAGATATATGCTATTTGAGGTTGTCTCTTGTTTCACCATGTGTTTTAGTGGATATCATCTCTAAAGGAAGCAAAACTAGACTGTTGCCCAAGTGGATGGTTGACGAAGGTGTATGATTTTCTTCCAGACATAATGCTAAAGTTGTAGAACGTAAAGAAGCTTACCTTATACTTTCTTTGAGGTGTTTTCTCTTGCTCAAGTCCATGATGTTCCTTTTCCAACATTCAAGGTGGAAAATTTAACACTTGAAACTATGATTCTTCGATCTGTTCTTCTTGGAATAAGAAGGCTTTTACAAAATTCACCTGCACTAAAGCTCACAGTTGATCTGGTGAAGCTACTAGAGTGAGATGTTGATCATGTTTTCGTTCTACATGCCCAAAACATAAGAAATCCTTTTGAGACTAACTTGTCTTCACAAGGTTTGTACTTTGATCAAAGATGGGAACAAGAAAGAGGAGTCTATTTCTTGGAGGGTAAAGATGCAAAGCCCGAGCTCATGTGTTCATTCATACGGTTTCTACTACTGAATACAACAACTTTAAAGAAATTGATTGTACGGCTGGGAGGTAATGTTGCCAAATTAGAATTTGAAAAGCTGGCAAGGATGACTCACAAAATTGGCATAAAGTACAATGTTTTCATGGTGCTTAAGTCAGGCTTCGTTAGGTCCTTTACTAGCCGTTTTTGATGGTACTGTTTGCGCCGGACAAAGAAATAAATTTATGTAAGAAAACATCTATAACATAAATTTTTATTTTTTTTACTAAAACGACCTTATAATAATAAAGTTTTAATCAACTCTATTTTGTAAAAATAAAACTAAAGAGAACACTATATTACACAAACATTTGTTCACCATATTTTGAACATTTAAAAATCCATACTTGGAATCACATAAATTGCCAATTATACATTCACATTTATATTATTTTCGGTGATTAATTCGTTATACAAGTTTGTATACTGGCCAAAGCTAAGGAGTGTAATGTTGGTGAATGTGTCCACTGCTTGAAGGTCTTGTATATATCTCTATTTGTCTTATACATACTCATCAAGCTCCTCCCTATAAGATTATATCTATTCATTAATTAATATTTACATATAACGAATATATAAAATAGACAGATATAAAAGCGAAGTGGATAATTTATTTTTAATTTAAGGAGGTGATCAATTATTGATTGAGTTTTAAAGTAATGTATTACCGTATTCTGACCACCACCACCTCGTCTACTTCTTGATGGTGGTGTTTCTACTGCAGCATTGGGCTTATAATTCGCCATCATTCTCCTCCCTTCATTTTATTCTTAAAGATATTTATTTTTTCTTTTTTTGTCGAACAAAGATATTTATTCTTTATATATGTAGAGAGTATCATAAGCAAACTGGCTAATGCATAAGGATTTAAATTAAACTATTAAAGTCACCATAATAAACCAGATTGTTGTAAACTTGTAATTATATGCATCTTAAGTGTCCTACTACTTTAATGGTTCGGGAAATAGTATCAATAAAATACTACATTTGTTCTTAATTAATTCAAGTTTTAAATTTTTTACACATACTAAGAAAACAAATTAAAATAATATAAATATAAATGCATCATTTTGTGAATAATAATTTTTTATAACTCTAAACAAATAGTATTCAAATTTTTTTTGAAGTTTACAATTCGTCGTCATTAATTAATAAAAATGCATTAAGAATTTTATCTTTTTGAAACCATTATCTTTTCTTCTAAAACTTGGATTAATTATACAAAAAAAAAAAAAAAACTTGGATTGATTACGAACAGATGGAGTAAATGCTTTATTAACTGAAATTTCTATATCAAAATCCAGATTACTTTATGTTTAGCTAGCTAGAGTTAACCTTTAACATTGTTGACAAAAAAAAGCTACAACATATTGACTCAAATCTCAAATGGCCAGATATAAACTCGTGGATATTAATATATTTTATTATTAAATCTAGTTAAAACCAATGTTCTAAAAAGCGGTCTAGGCGGTCGCCTAGGCCCCGACTAGGCGCTAGGCTTTCATGCGACGCCTAGATAACCGCCTTGACCGCCTAAAATTACATAGATCTTGTTTAATGTATTTTTTCAATTTCAATTAGAGTTTTATTTATATATATATAGTTATAAATATTCATATATTGTTTAATATAAATATAAATAAATATTTTATCTAATTTTTATTTATAATTTCATAATTTTTAGTTTTATATAGATATTTTATATAACTTTTATATATAATATCATATTGATAATGTTTTATGTTATAAACGTCTAAACCGCCTAAAAAATCGTCTAGGCCCCGATTAGGCGTTCTAGGCGCTAGGCACTGGGTCACCGCCCGCTTAGCGCCTAGCGCTTTCTTGAACACTGGTTAAAACTATATATGAGTTACTTAGCAGTAATAAAAAAAATTCTCTAGTAAAAAGTGTTTAATATATTGGAATAAGATAATGATCAAACTATATAAGATGAAATAATATCGACAAAACCAATATGTATGTACAATTGAACAATATATCATTTCATGAGACCTCATTTCTGTAATTTAGAATATTTTATGAACTCTGTCATTTTACTTTAGCTAGACCTCATGAATGTATAGTTTTTCCAAATTCAAATATGTAGATTATATATATGATATATCAACAATTAAAACATATAAATGACTTATTTATATAACATATGCATCTGTATATGTATCTATATGTGTTGAAACACTAACCAGTTATTGAGAGTTGTTCATGATCAGAGGGCAAAGCAGATCCGGTATGGTGAAAGAGGGTGCTAAGAAGAAGAAGAACCATGAGCAGATGACCTAAACCTGAAGAACCACTCATTGCCATATCTCTCTCTCCTCTCTCACAATTTGTTCTTTCCAGTTAAACTTTAAAATTCCATTTAGCTATGAAGACACATAAAAAGCCAAAAATAAAACAAATGAAATCTCTGCCAATCATTTTTAATCTTTGACTCTCTTGGTTTCTAGTGATTTTTCTTTGTATTTTAGTTTTCAGTGATTTTATTGAGGAAAAAAAATTGAAAGAAAGTTTACAAGCAGCCGACATCCCAAGCCCAATAAATTTTTAACACAATACAATTAAGAAAATCATCTATATGATTGTTTGAGGTTTTTCACCCTCCTGGTAATTTACGCTCATTTAACACATCCCAAGTAAGCTTTGTTGTGTAATGGCTCTTTTTTTACATACCGATGCTATTTTCTACTCAATGTGAATGTATTATTAATCAAAAACTGATCAATCATCGGTTTTATTGTAAATTTGTTATTACAAATATATGTATATAGTTAAAATCTATATTTAGTGTATGCTAGCTTCATCATATATATTAAATTAAATTTAATATTTTACTATTTATAGCTTATCAAAGATAGCAACATAATCTTATTGTAAAAAAAAAAAACATAGTCTTATACATACTTGTGTGTTTTCAAGAAATGTTGTTTTCAAAGCACGGTGATGGTGCTGGTGACAACAGCGATGACCGCGAAGATCGTCGCCTAAATGGAGATAATGATGGCGGAATATTGATACCAGCTTGTCGATATTCTGTTGAATCCGAAGGGGATGAGAGTGGAGATGAAGACGGCGAAATATATGTACCATCTCGTTTATCATCCGATCGACATAGTGTGATAAATTAAATATTTATTAAAATTAGCCTAAAGTGAATAAAGAGGTCCTTATTCTGTTTTAACAAAACCAAACCCATACTCAAACTAAACTAAAGAAAATATCGATTTTTTTTGTTCAAATAAACAAATCAAACTTTAAACCGAGCCAAAATAAAGTCTCAAACTATTAGTACTTTTATATATGAATTAGTCAAAAACTAGAATTTGGAAAACTAGTTATTAAAATTAGAAAAAATATTTACGAATTGTAGTGGTATTCTCTATTTACTGCTGAATTTATGAAAATAATTAGGGTATATTTCAAGCACTAACCTGTTAATTGGAGTAATTCTTGTGGAGAAGCAAGAGTAGTGTCGATAGACGAAAAATTGTAGCTAGCATATATTAGCCACAAATCAGACACAAAACTAAGTCGTGCCCATTTAGTAGCTATGTTGTAGCAATTTTGTGGCTAAGTAGCC